TTCCCTTTTTTTTTTCCCCCTTTTCCTCTTTTTTTTTTTTTTAAGGTGGCCGCATGCCTGTTTTTCAACCCTCGGAACAAAGATCTCTCGTAGACTAGCTTTAAGACATTCTCGTTCTCAGCGTTTTCCCCTCGTCCCTTTCTAAACGACGTTCGCGCTCCTCTGCCGGCTGATTTCGGCTCGTTCCCGAGCTGCACGTGCCTTTCGCTTTAAAATCAAATGGTTGCTTGAAATCGGTTGTAGAAGAATAACCGAAGCGCCGTGTGTTCTTAGGCTGCCCTGCGACGCACCGATGTCATTCTGGAAGTAGGCCCGGGAACCGGGAACATGACGGTAAAAATGTTAGAGAAAGTAAAAAAAGTAAGTGCGAATTTCCCACCCCGCCCCCCAAGCTGTAACCACATTGTGGCTTAGGCTGCAGCAAAGAGAAGGATCTTCATCTGTTTGATTCAAATAAGCAGAATTACCCTGTGGATATTTTTTCTTAACACTTGCATAATTCCAGTGAGGTTTTAGCTGCTCATGTAAGTCTTGCATGGTTTTATCAAACTGTGTTGCTGTTACCCATTTATGTGGTAAGGCTTGCATGTTTGGAGGAAGGGAGGAAGGTGCGTAGCCTAATAGGGGATTTTTAAGAATTATTTAAATGCCCTGTAGCAATAGATACAAAGGGTTTTAGCAATTGAAATTTTAATCCCAGTTAGGAGGAGTTGTATAAAGTTGCAAATACGTACTTTGTTTTCAGGTTATTGCTTGTGAAATTGACCCTAGGCTTGTTGGGGAACTTCAGAAGAGAGTCCAGGGCACGTAAGTATCAACTGTGGAAATAGCGAGCACTTAAAGCAGTGGAGAGGTGGCTTTGGCAAAAACTTTGGCAACATACTTCTCTGAGGATAACCACAGTGTATCTTCCCCCAGGTGTCTGGCAAACAAACTTGAAATCAAGGTTGGAGATGTCTTGAAAACAGAGTTACCATTCTTTGATGCATGTGTGGCTAACTTGCCTTACCAGGTATGGGCTAAACAACATGGCAAAAGCTTTTCCTCTTTAAATGGTAATTGCCCAGAAATTTTACTAATGCCATCGCTCTTTTCCTCAGATTTCTTCACCTTTTGTTTTCAAGCTGTTGCTTCATAGACCTTTTTTCAGGTATGTGGAAGAACAGAGCTCTGTATTACCCGATAGAAAAAAAAAAAATTAAAAAATATTTCCAAATCAAATTTTTTTAGTTCTTAAAATACCGATTTGATGGATCACAGCCGCACCAAGATTTTTGTGTAATATGAAAACTGCCAGTGCCTGGGAATTAGTTTATGTCGATGTATTAAACGCAAGCCGAAGATTTACTCTTGACATCAGTGAGTGTCCAGCTGATGAAAACAGCAGTTGCACCTCTTTACACTAGTATTATAACTGTTACTCCAGTGATAAGCAGGGCATCGTAGCATTTCAGATGCCTTCCTACCTGAGAAAGAAAGGGTGGAAAGGGCAGGATTGAAGCCAAGACACTTCCTGTTGCCTGCTCTAAGAATATAACTGTGCAGGTACTTCTGTGTGTTGTTCAACGTGTCAGCAGTTCTTGATTTCTCTCACTGAAGGGCTAGTGTTAGTGACATTACTGGTCGGTCAGCTTTTGGAGTTTGGATTTCAAGGACTCATCGTAGAATTATTCAATATGATTTGTTACAGTCAGGAACAAAACTCTGAGAGTAGCCTCCGTCTTTCTGATCCTGATCCATTTAGCGGTATAAAGAATCAAATTCTGTTGTAGCTTTAAGGAGATTTAGATCGTTTCACCAAGTTTTGTGTTTTGGTGTTTTTTAATGCACTCTGAACTAATTAAGGCAGAGTTTGTTTATGACAAACCGTTATTGCTTCTAAGCACTGGGGCAAATCCTGTGTTTTCTAAAGTGTGTTAGTTGGCTTTTGACGTAAAAGTTGATTACTTAGAATTCATTTCCTCATTTCTGTTATTCTCAGGTGTGCGATACTCATGTTTCAAAGGGAATTTGCACTTCGTTTGGTTGCAAAACCAGGAACGAAGCTGTACTGCAGACTCTCCATTAATACTCAGTTATTAGCTCGAGTGGACCATCTGATGAAGGTACGTCATTCTGCGTTAGCTAACAGAGCTATCAAAGATAAAAGAACATTTCTAGAAATGTGAGGAGTTGCTGCTTATTCATACAGCTGCCTGACTTCCCCTGACTAACAGGTTGGAAAGAACAACTTCAGGCCTCCTCCCAAAGTTGAATCCAGTGTTGTCAGAATAGAACCAAAGAACCCACCACCACCTATCAACTTCCAGGTGAGCATCGTATAAATATAACATACTAGTGATAGCACTTAATTTCATTTTTCTCTTTACTTATTACTCAGTTCCATGTGCTGTTTTCACTACTAAGTACCAGCTATTCATTGGCATTTACATAATTCCAAAATACTTATTCCTGTATTGATCAGGCTTGCATTAGGACGTTACCTGAATGTGCCACCATCAGTTTTGGTAGTTTTGTTTACAGTGTTTCTGACAAGACTGAGGTACCACCTCCATTATCAGTTGGAGAGTTGCTAGTAATGATGTCCCTTCCCTTTCATCATGGTTTTTTATCTCCCAGAGACCCATCTGGGCCGATGGCTTTGTTGCTTATGATTACAGGAGTAGCTACGAGAAGTCTTTATCTTCAGATGAGTGTGTATTATCTCAAAAGACAGATGTTACAGGGTAGTCTTTCTTAAAGTTCATTTTTAAAATGCTTTGGTCTTCAAGACCATTTCAAGCCTTGCCCAAGGTTAGCTGGATTTTCTTCAAGTATCTGTCTCCCTTGTCAGCACATAAGATCTTGGCCAACAGTGCCTAGCCACGAAAAAGGACAATTCAAAGGGTTTTGTGGGTGAAGTATTTTCTCCTCTATTTGTATTGCTTTGTCCAAGACACAACTGGTTTTGTATTGTTGAGAAAGATTATTTTCCTGAAAGATTTCTCTTTGTGTCGATATTATTGTGAAACTGCCAGTAGTGGCTGTTCTTGTTTGTAGTAGCTGTATGTTGTATGTTCCTTTCTGTAAATTCTGCAGTTTTTAATTTCAGGAGTGGGATGGTCTGGTAAGGATAGCCTTTGTTAGGAAAAACAAGACACTCTCTGCAGCATTTAAGTAAGTAACTTCTATTGAACGCAATCTTTTCAAAGTTTGAGACCCCATCCAGTTAACCATTTCTTTTGTGTAAATGCGTAGCAGTGTTATATGCATGCCAGCACAGTTGGGGATAAACCAATGATGGAAGATTTATACTGAGGTCACAAACTTTTTCTTTTAGAAGAAAACTAGGCAGCTGTTAAAAAAGAACAGCTCTGTGTAGTTGTTACAGTTTTTTATAGTAAAGGTTTACAACCAATCAAGTTAAAAAAAAAAAAAACAAAACCCAAACAACTAGTTAAAGCTCAATTTTCATTCTAGACTTGTATTTCTTTTAGGTCAAGTGCTGTAGAGCAGTTGCTGGATCATAATTACCGAATTCATTGTTCCTTACATAATACAGTAAGTTCCTTTTTAATATATTAAATACTATTTTTGTCTACTGTGACCTACATACTGACTTTTGTAAGAGTGAAAAATTAACATTGAAAAGTTTAACATGTTAAGAGTTTGTCCAAGAGAGTTGGAGGGAGGGAGGAACTTAACCTCTTCTCTTAGAGAAAAATCTAAAAAGGTCACTAAATTACAGTGAAAAAGCTGAAAGCTGAGTATGTTATTAACATATTGGCTGTACATGTCTCAAGGACTTTTACTAATCTAGTAAGAATCTAGTAAGAAAACTCTTTGTGCCTGCTTAGCAATATTGTTGTGATTCATTTATAGTGAATGACCTGAGGTATAAAAATCCAGATACAAGAATAGAAGAATACAATAATCCATACAAGAAAAAATGCAACTTATTTCTATCACTTGGAACAAGAACTATTCTAAAAGCAGGAAAATAATAGATGATTTCAGTGAATGTTTTTCTATGCTATGAATAGAAAATGAATTTGTATCCTATTTTCCATTGACAGGAAATACCTGAAAACTTCAAAATTGCAGAGAAAATACAGATGGTCCTAAAAAATACAGGTTACTCTGAAAAACGAGCCCGTTCAATGGATATAGATGATTTCATTAGGTATTTTTTTTTTCCTCTTTAAGCTTCTTCAAATTCTATCTGTATCTGTGCCTGTGTAGCACAGATTAGTATTGGGTTACACAGGAATAGTACTAACTCACGTTTTCCTTTCAATACCAGACACTCCTTGCTTCCAGTCCTGAACATGAACAAACACTTAACCCCTATATATATTTTAACTGCTGCTTACAGTATTGAGAAGCAACTAGCTAAAGATCCCTATTTCTGGTATTTGTGTACTAGACCCTTCTAGGTCTCCTCTAAAAATGGCTTTAATAATGGAATTGGTTCTTATAATTTCCCTGGAGATTTACATAGCCCTTCTCTGTCTTGAGGATTAGGACATAATCTATAGCGTAATTTGGAAATTTGAATAATTAACTAACTGCTACATTCTGCTTTTACTTCTGGTCAGTTAATTTAAGTGGCAACATGAATCCTCTCGTAATTTAAGATAAAAATTCCTAGTTGTTTCTCAGTGTGATAGTTAATACAGCTACTGCTCTTTTAAGGAAATGTAATAAACCTGGTAGCATGCAATATAACTAACAGCACTGAAAATATACCTACATCTCTAAAATGGCAAATTTGCTAATAACTTCTAGTTTAAGATTTGTAACAATTCTTCATGGCAGTTGAACAGTGATGGCAGCTTTCATGCTATTTTCCGATGTCCTTTGCCAGCCAGCAAATCTTAGAAATACCTTAAGCTGAAGTAGAAATTGTAACATAAATATTTTGCTCTTTCAGACTGCTGCATGGCTTCAATTCAGAAGGCATCCATTTCTCATAGATTCTACTAGAAGAATAAAAGATGTTCTGTATTTTGTCACAGAAGTCTTACCTAAGCCAGAGTGACTGCAACAGGACAAGCTCTTCTCACAAAAGCCATGAACTAAGAATAGAGTGCGCACACTCTGGTTCTTATTAAAGCCTTACGTGCAGTTTTATCACAGGTAGTAGGCAAGAAACTGCTGCTCTGTATTTTAACAGCGCTAAATTCTTTCATGACTGAAGCGAAGTGCTGGAGTCCCATGTGACAGCATATTTTTAACTACATCAGATAACATGGATTGATGCTGCCGTAATTGAAATCTGCATTCTCTGATCATGGACTTCATCTCAGTATATTCTTGCACAGTCCTCAACAGTACAACCTGTAAGCCTGGTCTGGGCAACAAAACCAGAGTTGCGGTCATTTCATTTGTTCGGGATTTTTTTGTTTGTTTTAAAGTGTATTTAAACCCTTTGTTTTGATTTGGAATGCCTGTCTCTTCCATTCGTTCTCTGGTAGCTACCCACATTCCAGGTCTGTTAGTACTCTTGGAGAAATCCCGGTAACTGTTTCTCAGAAACAAGAGCATTTATCTTGTAGGCTTGGTATCATTTACAATAATATTATTGAGGTACCTGAAACTACCAGTGTCATCTCCTTTACCCCCTACTTACTGCCATCAAACTGCTGTAGGAACCAGCAGAAAACTACCAAAGAACCAGTGCTTATATGCACAGACAGAAGGCAGGTTTTGTCAAGTGTAAATTCAAGCAGCTGTTTTTATAAGAAAACTAATTCAGCCTTCAAGGCTGAATTTTAAGGAGTTTTAGCATAGATCAAAGCTTTCAGTGAGTCTTAGAGCAATGCATGCCTGTGTCCTGGCAGAAAGACTTACTGAAGTGTCTTAATATAGTTTGGATTATATGTATTTGTTATTAAGGACAAGGCAAAGTTTTCCCAAGGAGGTCTGCATTAAGTGCATAGCAGCTGTCAAAAGAAATATCCACTTTGGACTATTAACTCTGTAGCATCATGCAAGGGTGAAGGTGTGACTGTGTATTATTAACTATTGTATGTCACTTTTTCAAGTATAGTGTGTAAGACCGTAGTAAGTGGAGAAGAGGCAAATTACCAAAAACTAAGATGTAACTTCATTTTATACACATGCGATGTCAGTTCTTTAAAAGTCATTGACTTGGAAGCATGTACAGAAATACACACTTGAATGTGCAGGCATCCTGAGAAGTTGTCTTGGAAAACTGAATTGCTCGTTTATTTTGTAATTTAATGATTCTAATGCCACTTCACTTCATACAGAACCAATTTATGAGTGAGGTAGGTACTCATAGCAATATGCTTAGAAGGAACAAATGCTGGAGATTTGTGTCACGCTTCCTAAATGTTTTCGTTTTACAGGACAGGAATCAAGATAAGCTTGTCCGAGTCGTGTTCAAGTAATACCAGTCCATCACAGCAATAGGCTACAGGAATTCAAGTGCTGTAACCAGCCGTGTCAGTTTATCTTGATTCTGACTACTTCAGCATCAGTGTACATCTGACCTTTACAGCAGGGTCTGTTACAAAGACTCTCTGAACAGTCCCCCCACAGTAGACACAATTTGAGCTTGCATCTGCTACCTCAGAGGACACATGTCACTTACAAGGCTTAGTAAAAAGCTGCTGAAATCGTAACTGCTTCTGCCCTTCCTGTCCTCTTTGGTACCCACTGTAAACCACAGCCTGCTTGTGGCTCTAGGCCTGCATGGAAGAATAGTAGGAAAGCCACTGTTTCTCATGTAGGATGTCTCAATCTTCAGAGGCTTTTTAGAAAGCAAGATTTCTCTAGAGCAGCTTCAAAGAAGCCCTCTAGTATGATATGATAACCCGTGCTGTCACCTGCTAACAAAAGCTGCTGCCTTCTATTTCATTGGGTTTTGCTTTTAACTGTGATGGATGACATTCTTAACAAATGCTGAGAAAGATGCGTGATGTTTCTAGTCTTGCAGCATGTCTCAAAAAAGTCAGGACAGTGCTCTGGGAAACTTCATCATGTATGACAAATTTGTACAGAAGAGTTAGTTCCAGAGGTAAATACTCATTCTGAAATCAGGCCTTTTCAAAAGTGTAACTCTGAGGTGTTTACAAAGTGAAACCCTGCCCAAAGCACAATAGAACTTTCACAGAAGTAAATTCTCACCTGTAATTCATTTAATAGCTTAATTTATTAAACACATTATGCAAAATCTACATTGTTGTTTCAGTTTTCATGTTTACACACAGGAGGTTTTTTTTTTTGGTTTTTTTTGTTTTTTTTTTTTAATTATTTTTAACCATGATGCGACAAGAGCTTCCCGTGGCCTACCTTTCTACGGGAGATAGATACAAACATTAAACACTACAAGAATTCCTGGCTCATTTAACTCTCTTTTCATTTCCTTCCCTTTATTCCAGGCCTGGCACAAACAACCAGGCTTTTATCCCCAAAGTAATTTTTATGCAGCTCCAAGGCAGAGTCTGCTGGAAACAGGGAGAACTCCTAGAGAGGTCTACAATTCTTCATCTGACAAGAAGTTCTTACATGAAAGGTCAATCTTTTTTGGATACTGACTTGCAAAAATAAACTTGAGTGCCACCACCTAAAAAGTGCTGATACACATGGCGCCATTTGTGAGAATTCAGGTACTTATGGGATTTTTGTTAGCGCTAGGTAGAGGTATTGTGCAAAATCCTCAAATGATGCAGTTTCACCGCACTTTTCAGCTGCTGGCACTGTACAAAGGGAAAAATAGGTATTAGCTACTTTTTTTTAAAGCAACAGAGCTACTCAAACTACCTGCAAACTACGGTTAATGTACATGTAAGTTTGTCATGCATCAAAAGCCAAATTTTAACAGTATGTGAAAGGCCAATATGTATGTATTTAGCTGGATCCCTGAACTTCCACAGTTATCCTATCCATACACAGAAGTCAGATTGTACCTTTACTCTGACAGCATTATCACACCATACCACATACTGTGTATCTGCATTAGCCTAAGATACAACTCTCCTCAGTACTTAAACATTACTCTTTATTATACATCAACTAATTTATATTTTTGTGGGTTTTTTTGCTCTGTGGTTTGTTTTTTTTTATTACAGAGAAAAATGTTAGAATTAATATACCCATTCTTTATGGAATTCAGATAAATCTAAATTCCAGATCTTTACAAGAAGGATGGAATGTTCAGCTGTTTGTCCACTCTAAACAGCTCTTGCAGTTCCTGTTCAAATGATATGGCACATCCTGTGAAATGGAACTAGCCACCAAATAAAAAAAGTCTCAAAGCACATTAAAAATGTACACACACTAAAGGTAATTCATACTGACAAAAAAGGAATGTTGTTTATTAAGGCTGTGCTTCAGAAAGTATGTTTAGGGTTAAGTAGCCTTCATCAAGGCACAGAATGGGAAGAGGTAAGCACAGCTGTCTGTAGAAGTTACGTACAACCACTAGTGCGGTGTGCATGCACACAAGCACAATTTAAAACTGCACAGCTGGTCTTTGTAACAAAACGGAACATAGTCAAAAGGAAATACTGTGACTTTTTAATGGCCACAGCTTTACTTCATTATGTAAAACATGGCAAATATTTCCAAATGTAAAATTCACCATTTGAATAAATGAAATATTTTAAACAAAGTGCTTCACAGATCTGACCCCTGCATGGCTGTGCTGTCTGGTCTAGAAGCATTTTGTAGACATCATAGGAGCATTTCACACAAAACTGAAAATGTCATTCAGGTGAATAAGAAACAGGACATTTCCACAGACATTTCTAACGTTTTTACACTTTCAAGTAGTTGAGTTCTAACGGCCACTGGGTTTTCTAACAAATGTGTGCTACAGCAGTAGGGGTTCGTGGACTCCTTTAACAGCAAAGGCCCATTTCAAAGGGCACGTGGTCTTTTCGGGTTGATCTGCTTACTGGCTTGTTCTTCCTCTTGTAGAGCTGCCCGGAAAGATTTCACTTTATCTTTAATGAAAAAGAGAGAATGAGTACTGATGTGCCTGTGCTCAACACAGATCTTGAAACTAAGCCCTGATACTCCACATCCTAATGCACAACAAAGAACATTCCTCCACAAAAACAGCTGACGCTACAAGCTACAAGAGGACTGAGATAAGCTTAAATTCAATACTCGCCATACAAACAAGTTGCTTAGCAACTTAGTCCCTTCCTAGATGCTACCCCTGTCTCTAGGTAGGATAGGTTTGGAAACTGCACAATTGCATTCCCAGCATGTAACCTCTTCACACTTAAATTCTGCTTCTAACTTACAGAGTATAGGCAGATACACACGACATACATCTTTTTCCCTCCCAGCACTTCCCAAACCATCCTTAGAGGCATGCAAAATTGTATTTACCATACAACCAGTCACTTCTGTACATTCTAAAACTCGGCAAGAGTAAATTCTACTCCCCCCTGTTTATCTATGAATGTGAAAAGCGTTTGTGATTAAATTTTGGAAATTGTTCACAGTAAATAGGTAAATGAATCATTCATTTGTTTCATCATAACTGTAACAAGAATGGGAGAAATCTGAGAAAGGAAGTGTAACTTCCTTTCATATTTCTGTTCCTGTCCTACTCCATTCCCCAGTAATGTGCCCAAGAATGGGAAGAAGGAAACCAAACAAACAACATAAATATGTCAGTCCCAGAGTGACAGAAATAAAAGCTGACATAATCAGTAACTGTTATGTGCCATGAGCAGAACACAGAGAGAAAGAATTACTGGGAGAAAGAATTTTTGACTTAATAGTCCTTCCTTCCTGTAAAGCTATACATGTATCATGCTGCCTGTAAAGATGCAAAGGTCTTTTAGCTAGCCTTTACCTCTGGTACCTTGTTTCAAAAGCAGTGTCTTAATAAGTTTTCGAAGAACAGGGAGTCACCTAAACTATGTTTTTTCACTGCTGGCATCTCAAATTGTCTTCTGAAGAGGAAGCCATCACCCATAAGAAGTAAAGCAATGTACCTGCTATTCTTTGCTAAAGTATACTGGTGCCAATGCATGCTTCCAAGGCAAGCAGGCCACATCTGATTTGCTTGATGTATTCTTCTAACTTAGAGCAGATACTCAGACTGAGTAAAAAGTAAGATTTTTCTAACACAGATAAACCCCCCACCCCTCAGTGCCCAACCCCACACTTGAATTTTTACCAGTATAGCATCCTTCCTGGAGTCCAAATAGTTACAGAAATTAAAATGAAAAATTCATCTCCATGAGGTACCTACCTGACAAGCTGATTTTAGAAGACAAGTGGAAGAATCAGTTTTGGGCACTAAGAATTATCTGCAGTTTGTTTTTCAACAAAGAGAGGCTGACAAAATTCAGACAGAAAGGCTGCTGAAGAAAAAGTAAGCTAACAACCAAGCTACTCGGAGCTTGACACCACTCTTAAGCACAGTCTTAAAAACAACAAGCAGGCTCCCTGCTACACTACAAAATGCAACAAAGCAGGAACTCGAGTTCCTACTACTTTTTCCTCATTGCATTACCTTCTTTTTTGTTTGTTTGGATTTTCTTTTTCCTTCCTTTATTGTTTTGGAACAAAGGAAAAGAAAAGGAAAGTTGCAGGATCAACATTTATACTTCCTGGAGGTAAAGCAGAGATTTTTCCTTTAAACCAGGACGAACTGAGCACAGATGTGAACTTGTTCTTAGGCAGCAGAATAAATGTTCCTTCCACAGGACATTGCAGGGCATCATAAGGGACAAAAAGACTAAAACATAACCACACTCTTTTTTTCTCCTCATTATTACTGCAAGCGTCCATGAAAACACACTGCTAATAATGCACACGAAAGTGATTAAAAGCCATCTACCTCTAAGTTCGGTCAGAACATCAATTTTGTGGTCTAGAATTGCTTCAAGTTGGGTAGCGTAAGCATCCACATCATAGTCCACTTCTTCTGTCATATCAAGAAGAGCTTTTTCATCCTCCAGCCATCTAATAGA